AAAATGCTGGTGTCCTTTGCTTCATCTGGTACTTACTTTGATGTGTTTTTTCTTCAAAAACACTGTAAACTCTAAATGAGGTATTTCTGAATTTCCTCAGAGCTGAGAGAAGAACATTTATCACTTAGAATAAGCAGATCATAGTTTCCTACAGCTCTTTACCTGAGGGTCAGACATCACTACCATTTGAGATAGGTCCCTAATGCACTGTTTTTTATGCATTTTGAGGGAAGATCATATGTAAACAGGTCTAAAAGACAACATTTCTTGTTAGCAGATAAGCTTTGCTTTCCAGGCCTCTGGTCTATTCTTTGACTATGTTCTTTATTGCCTTTACTTTCAGTGCCTGAGGAAATAAAGCCATAAAGAAACTGCTTTAATCCATGTCTTGGATCAGATCCATGGTCTCTAGTTTTGAATTTCTTTTCTTCAGGTAACACTTCTTTTAGGTCTTTTTTGTTTTCTAACTGGAATTGCATAGAAATAGGTCCACTGGTAAGCTTTCAGCTTAACTTCTTGGGGTAGTTAAGCAACAAGGATTCTACTTTTTGATTTCTACAGTGTCAGCTGATCCCATATTTCACGAGTGTATACCAGTAATGAGTCACCTTTTTGCCTCATCATTTGCTGGAAATGAAGGAGTGCATCTGACAGAGACGTGTACTTCCATATATGAAATACGTGCTGATGTCCTGGTTTGAGCTAGAACAGAACAATTCTGTTCAGTGATTTTACTTTTCAGCAGTCTCTGCTAACTAAGTGCACTTTCTGAAGCTGAGGGTGTATTCTCACAGACAGTGACTGCTTCTAGTGGTGACAGAACCCAATGTTTACAGTTACCACCAAGGGCTGGTGTGCAGAAAGGCTCTTGCTCATAGTTGCTCCTATTGAAACAATGGTTGCTACTAAACCTTGTGTGCCATGTTGGGGGTGCAGAAAGGAAAAGGCCACAGCTGCAGGGAGGAGCAGACAGGCCAAGTGACCCTAAACTCACCAACAAGGTATTCCATCCCATATGTGCCATATTCAGTATAAAGCTGAGGGATCATGAGGGTGAAGCTCTCTTCTTCAATGGCCAGTGTCCAAGGAGGACTCTGTCCTTTCTGCCTTCAATCCCGATCCATGTGTTCCTGAGTCTGGTTCCAGAATCCAGCTCCTGAATCCAGTTCCCATCTGCCCCTGAGTCCTGTCTGGGACTTCCCCAGTGCCTGCTCCACAGTATCAGTGGTGACTATGACAAAATTGCCATCATTGGAGTTTTGTTCAATATTGCTTTTGTATACATTTGTATACATTTCATATTATTATTATTATTTTCATTAAAGTTGTTTTAATTTTCTGATCCATAAGTCTTTCACCCTTATTCCCTCCTTCTCTTCCCCTTTGGTATGGGAGAGGGGTTAATAGACATGCCTGTCATTTTTCTAGTGGCCAGCCCAGCCCTAACCCTTGACAGCAAACTACGTTTTTTCCTTAAGCAAGAACTACCCAAAGTGCTTAGTAATTAACTCTGGACTGCTGTGGAGAAGCACTTCAGGAAGTTAGGTCTATTCCCCCTCACAGACTGCCTAGTTAATCTGCCTAGAGTTAATTTTTCTTGCCCCATGAGCTGTCCCAGCATTCTTTGACACACCTTCAGCAAGGCAGGAAGAAAGCTTTAACGTTTGGGATATTTTAATATTTAGTGGTCAGATCATGAGTTGTCAATTCCCAGAGTGTTAAAGTCTTCTCATGTTTATCCCCTTCTACTTTCTAGGAAAGTTCTTGTCACCCCATGACTAGAAATTGTTCTGGCTAATTTTAGTCTCACTATGACTAAATCTGGGGGCTTTTAGGACTAGTTTCCTCTAACCCTACACTGCAATACATCTTAGTGAGAAGATACAGATGCCTGTCTTCATGATGTCTTCATGTCTTGAACATGCTTGTGCTCATATATGAAAATCAAAATTGAGATGCCTAGGAAATTGCCAAGTGACATAGGAAGACTTTTAAAGGACCTAAGCACCTAACCAGCTAGGTAACAGTAATACCTAAGAGTGAGAGGCATGGACTACAGCATACATCAGCATGGGATTAAGACTGTCAAATCTTTCCTAATAATGTCCAGTGGTAACATTTCCACAACTTTCCATTGAAATTTATTTATTAAGCAATTTCCCAGCATTAATGTCAGAAACTTTCCTAATGCCTAATTTAAATTTTCCTTGCTACAGCTTAAATCTTGTTTTTCCAAGCCTTGAAAGCCGGAACAGACAAAGACAGTATCTGTCTATTATCTGAAGAGAAGCATGAGAAAGTACTTGTGACTAAAAGCTAAAGATCTGGGTTGGGAAGCACAATGTACATGACTGAGTGCTCCACCTGAAATGGAGAATTTCTGTGGAAATGGACTATTCTGAAGCTGCAAGAAATCTTTGGCTATTTTGTTGTTGTTATTTATTTTCTGAAGCTGGACATTGGGCTGCTCTATGGAACATTCTTCCTAGAGATTGAGAATGAAAGAGGCAACCATTTTCTGAAGCTGTTAATTTCATAAAGAGAGCACAGCCCAGAGTACTGTTCAGAGAAAAAGTATTTCCCTAGATTTGGAAAGCCTCAAAACAAGAATTTTTGGGGTTATGGGAATTTCCTGTGAATCCCAACTGAGTTTTCTAGTTTACTCTAAGGTAAGAGTGACAGTCTCTTACACGTGTAAGAATGTGAAAGGACAGAGGTTCCAGTGGAACACTTACTAAGGTTGTCTGAAGATGCTCGACCAGGAATAGGTATCTAAAACTTTGTCTAAAGCCCTAGAGACCATTTCTCTCTTAAATGCCACTACAGTAATTTTGGTAGGTATCAGGACATCATCTGCAATTCCAATGCTTCAAATTGATGCTACAGGTATTCCTCAGAAAAGCGGTCGTTTATAATATCTTCAGAAGTTTTGAACATACTGGAGGCTTCACTTAGGTGAAACATCAGTCCTAAAATCTCTGTCAAAGAACTCCTTTTACAACATATGTTTTTTTCCTCTTTATCCTTGATGCACTGGCTTTCTGTTCGAACACAGAACACTAGAGTGACAAACTGTTGAATCATTGCTGCACTGGAGCCGTGGTATCAAAAGTCAGTTGGAGTGATGATTTAATTTTGTTGATCTTCTGAACTTGTACCTGCTTCAGTGCCACTGATTTGGGCTTAGACCCTGTATGTGAAATATTCCTTGTTTAACTACTGGTTTCATTATGTACTTTGCCCACACACCAGCTGGACAGCGTTTTGCTTATAATCTAGTCAACTGTCTCGGCACTGACCCTGTCCTGAATGCCAGCTGGGAAGCAGTTTCCCTGTAGCTAGCAAAATGTCTCAGAATGAACGTTTTCCCTGAGCTTGCTGGAAACAAAATCTTTGTAGTCTGGTGTCTCTGGAAACAGAATCTTTGTGGTCTGGTGTCTGTCTGACACTTCTGACAGAACAGAAGAGGTGAATTGGTGTTTATCAGACTTTCCTGAAAAAGTCCAGACAATTATTTTTATGATTAGCAGTTTAAAGAGGATAACTCTCAAGCCACAAGAAACTAAAACCCATTTACTTAAAATTCCCGTGAAGCGTGAGAATATAAAAATGGAAGTCAAGTCAAACACCAGGACTATGTGGTTCTCACTGTTCTCTGACTACTGGGATGCAGCTGCTGGGGCAATGGTCAGTGAAGGGCTGCACTGCAATCCCAGCTTCCCAGGCAGGACATCACTATGGTGCTCCCTTATCAACAGTGAGATTCTGTACTATGAAGACAGTCTTCCAAATACCATGTTTCTGACAGGAAAGTATGTATGCCCATTTCTGAAGTGGACAGCAGAACTGGGATACAATCACCACAAACTGCTTGAAGATGATTTTTGGTGTCATAACGCCTCTTCTCTCATACTTAATGTGACAAGTAACAAGAATCATAGGATAGCTTAGGTTGGAAGGGACCCTAGAGATTATCTAATCCAACGTCCCAGACTCATTGCAACTAGACTAAGTTGCTCTAGGCCTGATCCAACCTGGTGTTAAACACCTCAAGGGAGGGGACATCCATTACTGAACAAAGGCTGAACATTTCCAGTGCCCTCAGCCTATCCTCATGGCAGAGGTGCTCCAGCCCCTGGATCATCTTTGTGGCCCTCCTCTAGACTCATGCCAACAGATCTGTGTCCCTTTTATGGTGGGGACAAAAACAATTGCCTATTGGTTTCCTTTAGTCTTTTCTCTCTCCAGGTTCAGACACACACCTGCAGTTCAGGGTGTCTGGGTACTGTGATGCACATATCACAGCTGGACAGTGGGATAGCTACAGTCCATTCCTTACTAACCTGTTGGCTCCATTGCTTAACGATGGAGTGGTTGCATGGTTTGAGGTCTGGAAAATAAATGCCAAATTTTCAAGTGGAAAAAATAGTGGCCTGTAGTGGGGGCCTATGGAAGAAGAGAAGATACCAAGGAAGAGGATTAAACTCAAATTTACAGAGAGATCTAAAGTCAAAGGAATACAGAAAGTTATTTCCTAAGAAATTGCCCTAGGTGAAGTGGGATTTATCCCACTTGTCATGGAGGTTGGTAGTCTCTAGCCTATGAAGACTGAAAAAAAGAATGCTGCACTATTGCTCTTTCATTTCAAGAAAAATAAGGATTACAGCAGTTACCATTTCTTTTTGAACACAACAACTAACGCATAGAAAATAGTTGCTGCAATTCCTCTAATTTCATCCATCAATTGAATGCTGTAGTAACTTGATTTGTCTAACAGCACTTAAGGCAGTAAGTTTGCAGGCATCATGGAAATACACTTGAAGCAGAGTGCCCTTACAGAAGGCAGTATGCAGCAGAATGCCCCAATGTAGAAAGCAATGAGCTAAAATGTAGAAATCTCTCTCACAATCACATAATGGCAGGTAATTATCACCATCATTATGAGAACAGAGGTATGGCCCAGTAGGGAATGTTTAATCTCCAGAAAAACTGCATTTATGTTAGGGTAAGGTATTTCCATTTTTGCTGGGCTGGCACTGTATAAATACTAATGGCAACAGGGGTGATCTAATTTTTGGCTCCTCCGAGGCTGCATTGGATCCACAGATGGATTTTTGTGTTATAGGAAAATAGTTACTTACTGATAATTGTATTTCTTCTGGGTTGTAAGCAGTGCTCAGTAAGTTGTCTGTTCTGCCCTTGTCAGGAAAGAGCCCATCAAGGCCCAAAGGGGACCCCACTGGTGGTGATGGAGATTTATCCTCTATTTTCTTTTCATGACCTCTGTGACGTGTATGAGAAGATAAAGTGCTGCCACTTTTTGAACCAGTGGTACTGCATTGGCCACATGAAGCAGGACTACAATTTCTGTGGTGTCTACTGGCTCTGAGCATAGCAGTCTGTTGTTCCATTCCCTGTGCATCTTTCTTTTGGAAAGTTCTAAAAGAGAAAAAAATCCAAGTATGAAAACCAGTTAAAACTCTAAGCTATCACAGCAAAGCCAAGGGTTTTTTAATTTTATTTTTTAAATGCAATTTTGATTACTTATCTGTTCAAACTGTTTCATGCGTCAAGCTATGGGCATAAGATTAAGCATTAGCAAGTTGCAGCAATTTAGCAAATTTCCACTTAAGTTACTGTAAAGAGTCTGAGTGTGCATTCTCTGTCTGCTTCAGCTGTGACTTAAATCACACTAATTTAAACCCTTTCACTGGATTTTGAGTAACTTTGCCATATATTTGTGGCAGGACAAGAGCTACAACACAAATTCACTTGAGGTATTGAAGATACTAATACTCCTTAAGTGTTTGTTACCCATTCTTTGCCAAAGTTTATTATCCCTTTAGCTTTGCAGTGGAAGAAGCTCTGCAAGCACTCTTCAGCCATGTCTTGATAACAGCCTACAGTAAGAATGAAGGGAACTAGGCTAAATTTAGCCACACAGAGAGAATGAAGTATGAAAGTGTGAGGCTGGATAGAAAATCTATTACTAGCAGTTGAATAATTAGTCAATTTGATCTAATACCACCTTAAACAACTACTTTCAAGTCGCTAGAATTTAGAATAAATATTTTAATAAGTCAAATAAGAAAATAGTACATGAATCTTTGATTTGAAATATTTACCACAATAGTAATTTTGCCACTGATTAATGACAACACAGTGGAGATTAAGATGAGAAATAAAGAACATTTTAAAATACAGTTTTTAAAAAGTGTATAAGAAGATGCTTTTGTAACAATAAGTGAAATCTTAAAGCTCACAAAAGAATTTCTAAGTATTTTATTATGGTGTTCCATAACCCTTGTGACCTGCTTACAGAGATCAGAATGGATGTGAAAGCAGATATTTGTATTCATTTGTAATTCTGTAAAGCGAAAACTTATGGTTAACAGCAACCTAAAAAATACAACAAAGCTATTTTCTTCCCATTGAAAATGCCTTCTTTTCCTGACAGTTAATTGAACAATTCTGAAACCATATTGATAAGAGCAGAGAATATTGAGACTAGTTTGCCCAGATGGCTGCTGAATTAGACTAATTTTCAGTTGCATCTTTACTTTTATTCTCTACCAAAACATGCAAAAAATTTTAAATTATTTCAGATTTTATTACATTTCTTTTCCAATATTACTGACTGAGGGAAAAATTCCAGTTGTAGTGAGGTCTGTGCTCATGATAAAATTGAAAGTTTAGTCTTGGGAGTTAACTACTATCCTTAAACATGATAGCTGTTTTAAAATATCCTATCTCTGAAAAGATCCTAAAGTATTTACTCATCTGAAATGCAACTATAAAAGCTTTTAAAGATCATATTCTCAGCCACTAAAATATAATTATTATAAATATTGAAGTGTATGCAGTGCTACTTAGTCCAAGGAAAAAAGTTTTTAAAAATAAAAACTAAAAAAGAAGAATTTTCCAAGCACAGGGAAGGGGCAGTGTTTTCTGCAGAAAGATTACACCTTCATTTTCTAATTTTAATTTAAATATTTGGTGTTGGTAGAGGGTGGCTGTGCAGTCTGAATGGGTCCTGCTTGTACATAAGCCCTGAAACATGAAGCTGAGTACTCCATAAATGGACTATGCAGCACAACTCCAAGAACTAATGCGGAACATATTTTTCTCTGATTATAAAAGTAGTGATCAAGATACTCTGAATGCTACAGGAAAGAAAGTTGTGAGCATGATATTATAATATTATTAGTAGTATAATATTATTATTATACATTCTGACATAAAACTCCGAGAATATTCACCAGACCTTTCAGTTTTCTAAATCACTTAAAATGCTTACCTTTATATGGGCAGAGTTTTCAACTTTCTTTCATGCGTTTCTTTAAATAAATACACCGTGCTTTTTAGGCACAGAAGATAACCTTTTTTTCTTTTTTTCCCTCTATTATAAAGTCCATTCTATCTATTGTTTGGATGAAGGGCACAGTGAAAAAATCTGCCACAACTGAAGATAGATGGCATGAATAATAAAATCACAGATATATTTTTTTCATCTTAGGTTCTGACCTTTTTGGAAGTAATTTCCTTTGTAAACCCCCAGTAAAGTCTCTGTGATCTGTGTTCTTTCCACACCCCCGCCCCCCTCCCCCAGCTTCTCTATGTATTTAATAACAGTTATGGCTATTTTTTCAGACTTGGGTGCCTACAGTTGCAAAAGCTTTTAGATATCACAAACAGAGACACACCCCCCCCAGTAAGGACTGATTTTTAAAAGGAACTCCCCTTCCTGCTGTAATCCATAGGATTACTGGGGCTGTTTGCTATCTTGGAAAAACATGACACCTACATTAAGGTGCTTTGATGTGGATACTATGACTTCACTTCAGACAGTTTTCACGGTTGGGGTTTAAATTTCTGCCAGTTCGGTTCAAAATAATATCTAAGAACAGAGCTCTACTTTGAATACAAATGTAAAGGTAGGCAAATATCTGCAAACTTGTAAAAAACTCTCCATTTGCTAACACTGGCAATGCAAACACACAACAACTCCAGTTGAATAATTTATGTTTTCAGTAGATTTACTGTCATAGAGTATTTAATATATACCCATACTTCACAAAGAGTATCACAGTTGACATGGTGACATATGGGACAAGCAGTGAAAAAACAATGTCCTCGCAAAGGGAATTTATATAGACAGGATTGATTTTTCCAGACTCATCTATGAAGTCAGCCTGGTCCCTATGTGAACAATGACTTCAGTGGTGCAAAACAAATTCCTCGTGCAGCTTATGCTGGTTGACATACCTTGTCTCAAGAAAGAAAACAACAGGTCTTTAATGACCAGAATGTCTTCAAAATTCATGGTGTTGCTTTTACCTTGCAAGCGTAACTGCCAGCTTGATTTTAAAAATGCTTAAAAAGAAAGTTTATGTACTGCAGTAACTGATACAGTGGTGAGTGTGGCTAAGAGTGTGTGACCTCCAAAGGGTAGTGAAAACCTCCTTAACAACAGGCAGGCACTGTCAACATGGATCCTTTAAGAGAACCTCACCTACCTTAGTAGGCATTCAGTCCTAGATTATACCACCTCACTTTTGTCACATGATGAAACTGCAGTTTGTCGTGATTAGTTACCTATTTTGTATATATTTTAATGGTAAATAGGTAGCCTTTCATTTGAGAACTCACATGCATGTTTTAGCTTTGGCAGAAACAGGCTAAACACATCAGCTTCACCAGAGAAAGCCCTCTTCAACCATACAAAAATTAAATAAAATATATGTGGCTAAGGTCTAAATAAAGGATCGAAGTCTTGAAGGTGTGGAAAGCTTATGTAAATGGCAATTAGAAGTAAATCAATTATTATACATGAAAACAGTAATTTAAATGGTTATAGGTAGGATGTGGTCATAGCCTTTCTTAGCAAAAAGGTGCCACTCCTGCAATATATTACTCTGTAATATTTAGAAATTCCCTGCATACTGCAAGAAAGAAGAAAGCATGCCTCTTTCTGAAACGCCAGCATAACTTCCTGCAATTTCCTGTATTTTCTCTAGAGGTCTTTTATTTAACCAATGACAGTGCTCATGCCTGGGATTCTAGTACCTACCATGAGACATGCCTGGAAAATATTATAGAATATAGTTGGTTGAAGACAGTTTTTTTTCATTGTGCAAACCGCTCTAGGTTTCTGAATGCAAATAGAAACCCAAAAAGTACAGCTTCTGAAAATTACTATTTATATACTACTTTACACAAACACACACACTGCCTTGTACAAACACCATGTTTTCTATTTTTCTGATACATATAAAAAAATCATTTTTGCCCTTTCTGCAGTGCCATAATTACCATGGAAACAGAACTACAAATTAAAACAGAAATAACATGATTTATGCCCACAATAAAATAAAATATACCCCAGAGTTTAACTCAAGCAACATCAATTGACTGGTTTATCTGCATACATTTGATGGTTGAAAATTTAATTTCCATTTTCTGAGAAAATCTTGGGGTAGTTCCCCATTTGGAAGCAGAGAACTGACAGTATAGAGAAGGCCCAGTCTTAAAATGCCTGCCTGCCTTATGTGCACATACAGCACATGTGGAATTTGCACATTTTTTTTAAATCTGTGTATGTATTTAGCCAAATAGCTTTTATTTTAGGAAATCAAATGCAGATTTTAGATCCTGAAAACCAGGCTCAGTGTATCTGTTTCATCAGATTAATTAGAATCATAATTTAAGTAGTGTTCAGTAGTGTGGTTGAGCTTTCTGTTGTGAGAGAGGTTAGCTTTCCCAGGTTCCCCTCACCCAGTTTCAGTTTAACATTGGCCTTCGTTGGCTATGAAACAAAAATCCTGCAAATTATGTGCACAATTGTGTTGTCTCACGCACTTAAATTCTCATGAATGAAATTTCACAGCTCCTCATGTACAGCAAGAGTAATTCCTGAGAAAATGGGGAAAAAAAAATCCTATTTTTTTCTCACTTAAGAAGAGTGAAACCATGAACAAAAACTGTACTGACCAATTTTTTTTTGTGTGTGAAATGATGAGACCTACAGGTGCATAATAGTCTGTATATGGTTTGTAAATACTTTGTTGAGCAAAACTTTCAACATCATTTGAACCATAGCAGGAAAACAGCCATGCCTGCCACTTCCATATTTATGTGCATATATATTATGTATATCCATAGATCTATGTCCATACCTACATATAATATATGTATTTACATACACATGAATATTACCTCCAACACTAAACATCATGCTATAACCAAATTTTAGGCAAGAATGTAGCTAAATATCATGGGGTGCCTTTCTGTTTTGTAGAAAGAAAATATCTTTTAAATTTCACCAAAGACTGAAAGTATGAATTTGAAATTCTTAACCTATATAATTTTGGCTCCAATTATTTAAAGTTGGCTTCACGGATCTGCTTTACATTAGTGCTATCACTTATTACAAATGATCAAAATATTTAGCTTCCTTTTGATTTTTACTCTCCTGTACTATGAAATATGGTTTCTCATGGAGTTTGATTTTCTTTTTCTTACTGCAATGCCATGATTCTGATGTATTTTAAGGTAATTCAGTGCTTTACTGAATGCAGGGAAGTAAGAAAGTCATCACTACAATTTTTCTATGAGTTTGAACATTTTTAAGGCTCATTATTTTTCCCTAACAAAGGGTTTATTGTAGTAATCGTTTATTCAGGGCATCTGAAATTTTGTTTCTTTTAAAAATCTGGTCACTCAAGAATACCAAAACTAGAGAAGGCATTAAAATGCATTTAATGAAATTTCCAACAAATGAAACTGGAGGGGCACAAAGCTTTTCAGCAGGGTTTGTAGTTCAGACTGGTTATTAAGATAACCTCCTGTGGAGCAGTTTACCTCTCATGTTGGTTTTTATATCTTTTCCTTGTCTTCTTTTTATTTGGCAGTAAAAATACATTCTGTCATGTTTTGCAAAACCTAGAGCTAAGAATAACTTAAGCAGCCCATAAAAATTTTTAAAACTTATTTAACGTGACAAAAGCTAAAATAATGATCAAACATTTCTGGGACTTCTTTATTGCCAAATTCAGTTAGCCACACAGAAAAAACATAGGAAATTCTTACAGATATACTAACTAGGTGGGATATTTATGTTGGTGGGAGTTCTGAATTAACAGAAAAAATAAAGCTTGGCCCAAAAAAAAATCTTCCAAAAAACTTACAAGAATTTTCATATATACGTACAATGTAAATATTCCTTCTCTTCCTTTTCTTGCATCTTTGAATGGGTTTGTCAGCTGTTCTCCATTTCTCCATATGTATCCATGCAACCCAGTATTGATGTTTCTGTGCCATTTTGTAGTTTAACAAGACCATTTTGCAATCTTACACTCACATGTTCCAGTTAGTGAATGTAAGATGTGAAATTTCCGTGTTTTTTGTTAGATAAATCTATACTCTGTGAAAGGAGATAAAACCATAGCTACATGTTTTTCTTTTCCCCACCACAGATGGGTGTTAGTATTTGTGATGAACAAAAACAAAGCCAGTGTTCTATGCTAAAGACCTAGCTACCATATATAATCATGCAGTGGTTATAGTAAACCCAGAGAATTGCCTCCAGAAACAAAAAACAAAACACTGTAGAGAAATGGAAAATAAGGGATAATAACTTCTCTAACACTATAAAACAAATTAAAATTTCTCAACAAACATGCATTCAAAATATTATTGTTGTAAATTCATCGCTTGCTTTGTAAAGCTTATGACTTAAAAGCAACCATACCAGCTATAGCTGCAGAGTGTATTGCTCCCTCCAGTAACAATTCTACCAAAAATAACATGAAAAATTATGGAAATGTGTTACCACACTAGATACAAGTTATGTCTACAGGCACAATTTAATATCTGTGTTGAGATACAGTCACCTTTGGTTTCAGAAGCAGTAAAATAAAGCCACAACAGCACAGTGGTCTCCGTCTGTGTTACTAAAGCCTGCTTCTCAGTTGGGTTAGCCCACATGGTACACAGGTCAAAATTCTGAAAGTGGAAGCAACACATGCACTGTGCTGTTTGAGTGGGGGCCAAAGAGGCCTGTCCACTAGGTTATTAAGAGAGGAAGATGGAGGTTAGCTCTAGAAGCTGAGTAACCAGGACACCTCATTCCTTTTTTGTTCTATCACTTATTCCATGAAGCCTGCGCCACACATCTGAGCTGGCAGTTTGGAACTACTTCTCTGCAGAATGCTGCATTGCATTCTGTAAATATATTTGCAAGAACAGTAAACTGCCATCAGCAGAAAATTCTCAAAAGATCTATCAGATTACACACAAAAGACTAAAAACCCCATGCTTTTTATTAAGATGTGCTTTCATATATTTCTAGATTTACCTAGATTTTTATTCTTTTGGACCCCAGTAGCTCATGACTATTAAGGATTTGGTTCTTAGTATACTGCTTGCTCAGCTGGGCTCCTGCACCTGAAATCTTGTCTGTTCCTTGCACTAACTGGTCTGATGCCATCGCCTCCTATAAACCTTGCCTTTACCTAGTTTTAGGGGAAATTTATGAGCCAAGCTGGCATGGAAGTGCTGGAAAGTATAAGAAAATTTAATATTTTGTGCAAGGATGTGGGGCAGGGGCTCATCTATGTCTCCCGTGTGAAGAGGAGTGGCAGAACAGGGGAAGAAGGAGAGTGCCAAGTCACACTACCACCTACAGCAATGGAGTCAGCAGTACAGTTATAATGGCATGAACCTCAAAACTGAGCTGGCACAGCTATATTACTTTTGAAATCTAAACAAGCAGCCTTGCCTCACAATGTGTTACATCATAATGACTTAGGCTGGCCTTAGTCTGAGGGGTCACTGTACTGTACAAACACAGTAAAAATCTCTCCAGTCCCTGCAATCTTAACATCAAACACCTCACAATCTTTAATGTTGAGATTCTCACAATACACTAATAAAATAGGAAAGA